TTTTGACCTCTGGTGATCTGCCAACCTCAGCCTCCCAGAGTGCTGAGATTACACACATAAGCCAACATGCCCAGCATCACATATATGTTTTTAAAAGCTCTTAACTCTTGGTATTATTTCTTTATTGACTTACTTTTCAGAGACAGGGTCTCACTCTGTCACCCAGACTGGAGTGCAGGGACACAATCTCAGCTCACTGCAACCTCCGCTTCCTGGGTTCAAGTGATTATCTGGCCTCAGCCTCCCAAGTAACTGGGATTACAGCCCATGCCACCACACTCAGCTAATTTTTGTATTTTTTTAGTAGAGACCTGGTTTCTCCACTTTAGCCAGGCTAGTCTGGACCTCCTGACCTCAAGTAATCCACCCACCTCAGCCTCGCAAAGTGCCAGGGTTACAGCCATAAGCCACCAGCCCCAGCCCATTCCTGCTATTATTTACATTGTGTTTTTTTCTTGTCAGACAATTAGAAAATTTATATTTGCAATTGATATGTACCCTGTTTTGCAGTATAGCTTTATGCTGTTCTTTACCAGGGGGTAGATTTCTCAAGTGTTTCTCAGAGACAGTTGGCAACCATGGCTTAGAGTACGTAGGGGTTTGTGCCAGATGAGCTGGGAGTAGGCATGGTCTGAATTAGATATTGGAACTGATGACCTCTCACCCCCAAGCACCTTCAAATGACCCTAGTTGGTGGATTAGTGACAACTGCTACGGAATCTGCATCTTTGCATACAGCCCGGGGCCCTGAGAAGAGTTATTGTTTAGTGAATGTTTACTGTCTGGCTGTGACTCCTGCAAATGCCTAACTCTGTTACAATGTTGTCAGGTGGTTGCCAATGATGAGTTTAAAGTTCATGTAGAGTTCACACACTCTATTCACATGTGCTACAGATAATTTTAAGAATTCAGAGCTGGACAGGGTGGTTCAAATCTACAATTCCAGCATTTGGGGAGACTTGAGCAGGAAGATCATTTGTGTCCAAGAGTTTGAGACCAGCATGGATAACATAGGGAGATGCCATCTGTACACACACACACACACACACACACACAATTAGCCAGGTATGGTGACAGTATCTGCAGTCCCAGCCACTCAGGAAACTAAGGTGGGACGATCACTTGAACCTGGAAGGTTGAGGTTGCAGTGAGCTGTGATTGTGCCGTTGCACTCCAGTCTAGGCAACAGAGGGAGACCCTATCTCAAAAACTAAATGAACTGTTATATCTATGTGTTGCTATCAAATTCTAATATTTGAACTCAGGACTGTTTTCATCAAATCCTGTATTTACACCATCCAAAAAGAATTTATTTGATGGAATGAAACCACTGTGAGTTCCCTGTGGTTCTAGGATACAGTACCTTTTTTTTTTTTTTTGAGACGGAGTTTTGCTCTTGTTACCCAGGCTGGAGTGCAATGGCACGATCTTGGCTCACGACAACCTCTGCCTCCTGGGTTCAGGCAATTCTCCTGCCTCAGCCTCCTGAGTAGCTGGGATTACAGGCACGTGCCACCATGCCCAGCTAATTTTTTGTATTTTTAGTAGAGACAGGGTTTCACCATGTTGACCAGGATGGTCTCGATCTCTTGACCTCGTGATCCACCCACCTCAGCCTCCCAAAGTGCTGGGATTACAGGCTTGAGCCACCGTGCCCGGCCTGATACAGCACCTTTTAACACAGGTGCTTGTCCTGTGCACCCCGGTCTCTGGTTCAATAACAACTCATCACTTAAACCCTAGGGACTGAGAAAAGGAGACAGTGTGAGCAGCTCTGATAGAGGATGAGCAGAAAGAAGTCAGAAATCTGAACAGGATCAATCCAGGCTCTGACCTTTCCAGAGCTTTCCCCCAGCTATCCCCTGCCCCACTCCTCCCTGCTGTGTCTCCTGGTGCCCCCCCACCCCTGGGTGACAGGGGTGCTGTGCAGAGGAAATTCAGTCATTCCCAGGTTTATTCTGTGTCACTGCAGTCCATTCTCCACAGAAACTGAGTTTCTGTCTCACTGAGTGACCTCCATGTGCTCATGTAGCACCAAAGGCCTTTTCTGTCACGAATAACGTTTTGAGCATCCATTTCGTAGCATTCCCACAAGAAGAGTTGGAAAGATTCCTCTGATTATGAAAATAATCTGGCTAAGCACTGTGGCACATGCGAGTGATCCCAGCACTTTGGGAGGCAGAGGCGGGCAGATCTTGAGGTCAGGAGATTAAGACCATCCTGGCCAATATGGTGAAATCTGGTATCTACTAAAATACAAAATAGCCGGGCGCAGTGGCTCAAGCCTGTAATCCCAGCACTTTGGGAGGCTGAGGTGGGTGGATCATGAGGTCAAGAGATCAAGACCATCCTGGTCAACATGGTGAAACCCCGTCTCTACTAAAAATACAAAACATTACCTGGGCATGGTGGCGCATGCCTGTAATCCCAGCTACTCAGGAGGCTGAGGCAGGAGAACTGCCTGAACCCAGGAGGTGGAGGTTGTGGTGAGCCGAGATCGCGCCATTGCACTCCAGCCTGGGTAACAAGAGTGAAACTCCATCTCAAAAATAAAATAAAATAAAAAATAAAAATTAGCTGGGCATGGTGGCACTCTCCCATAGTCCCAGCCACTCATGAGGCTAAGGCAGGGAAATTGCTTGAACCTGGGAGGTTGCAGTGAGAG